AAAATTTGCAGCCTGGCCATGTGGGAGAGAAGCAGAGAGCATTTTCAGAAGGAAAATTCAACGGTGCTAAGAAGATTAACACAAAAGAAAGGGGTTATCAAGAGAAGGGAAAAGGCCCTGAAGGATTGCAGAAGCCTCTGGGGCCAACCCTTCCATCACAGGCCCAAAGGCCTAGGGAGACAGGATGGTCTTGGGAAACAGGCCTGAGGCGCCCTCCACGGGCTCGCTGTCCAGGGCCACCTCGGGAAGCTGCTCCCCACACCAGCACTCCAGCTGCTTTGGCTGCTCCAGCCATGGCTATATTTGCCCTGGGTGTGGCTGGGCTCACAGCTTCTAGAAATACAAGCTGGAAGCACTGGTGGTGTCCATGTGGTGTTAGGTCTGCAGGCTGCAGAATGCCACAGCTGGGAAGGCTTGGGAGCCTCCACTCTGATTTCAAAGGATGTATGAAAAAGCCTGGGGACCCAGGAGGAGATCCGTCACCGGGGTGGATTCATCACGTAAAGTCTGCTACAGCAATGACAACTGGTAACCCTAACCGTAACCCTAACTGGTTTGAGTTGCAGCCGAGAAACCCCGTCAAGGCCATGCTGAGTGGAGCTGTGGCTGTGGGACCGCCATAGAGACCCCAGAATTATGCAGCTACCAGAGTGGAACGCCAGCCTGGGAGAGCTGAAATGTCACCTGAGACCAGGAAAGCCACAGGAGCAGAGCTGCCCGAGGACTTGGGGAAACAAGTCCTGTACCAGCGTGCAGAGGACATCGAACATGGAGTCAAGGTACATGATTCACCAGCTTTGAGATTTAATGCCTGCCCTGCTGGATTTTGGACTTTCTTAGGACCTGTTACCCCTTTCTTTCGGCCTATTTCTCCCTTTTTGAGTGGGCATATGTACCCTGTGCTTGTCCCACCGTTGTGTCTTGGAAGTAGATAAGTTGTACTGATAACAAGTTCAGACTTTGGGGATGGAATGAACGTGTTTACCTGTGAGAAGGACATGAACTTTGGGGGCCGGGAGTGGAATGCGATATGGACTGATTTAATTGTGTCTCCAGAGTTCATATATGAGAAGCTTAATTTCCACTGTAAGTGCTGAGGGTGGGAAATCCTATCATGGTAATTGAAAGGTGGGGCCTTGAAGAGGTGATTAGACTGTGGGATCAGGCTCTGTGAGTGGATTAATAATGGCGGTCAGGGGCGTGGTTCTGAGGGCTTTAAAAGGAGGGCACATGAGAGCCTCTCTCCCTGCTCTACCATATTCTGCCATGTGAGACCCCTGCGTTGCTGAAAAGCCACCACAAAGAAGACCCTCACCAGATGTGTTCCCTGGACTTTGGACTCCCAGCCTCTGAAAGTACAAGCAATAAATTTCATTTTCTTTATAAATCACCCATTTTCAGGTATTTACGTTATAAGCAACAGACACAGACTAATGCAGGCAGGGACTGGCAAACTTCCTGTCCAGGGCCAGAGGGTAAATACTTGGGGCTTTGCAGGCCCCTCAGTTACAATGACAGCTGCCCCACTCTGCTGTGTGGCTAAGACCGCCACGGACACCACGTGAACGTGCGGCTGAGCTGTGCTGTAGTGAAGCTTTGCTTGTGAGAATAGGTGGTGCTGTAGCTGGGGGCTCTGCCTCAGCCACCCCGCACCTGCTAAGCTGCAGCACCCCCACGGGGTGCACTGGGCTCTGCAACTCTTCCTTGGGAACAGTCCTCGCTGGTCTGAAGTGGAAAGGTTTTTCCAGGGCCGAACAGGAGAGACAGGGGCTTTCCTAGCATCTCTGCAGATGTCCACTAAGGGAGGTCATGTTGCCTGTGTGGTCCGTGCAGATTTAGGGGCCTGCCCCCTCTCCCCATGATCCTCCAGCTCTGGTTCTGGGTGGACAAGGCTCCAGGCAGAAATGCTTGCAGAGGACTTGGCTCTTGAGCTGCAGGGCAGGAAGTGCCCGGCTGAGATGCAGGCGGCCCAGGCTGAGGGCTCCTGGCGGTGGTGAGGGGGCCTTGTCTCCTGTTTCGGGCTCTTCCTCCCCATGCCGGGCCTTTGAAGTTCATGTCTGCACAGACACAAATTTGCATGTGGTTGCTCTGTGTTGTCATTAGTGCCTGGCAGGATCCCTTCGTTGGGAATCCACCCCCTCAGCAGAGCAGCGAGTGCCCTGGCAGCCCGCACCCTCCCCAGCAAGAGGCCCAGGATCCAAGACGAGCCTGTTTCGCTTTTCTCCGCTGGAGACCACTCCCCACACCCCCCACGCCCAAGGAGGGGCTTTCCACCCCAACGTGGACAATTCAGGAATTTCAGGTTGGGTTTACCTGGAGGCGGCATCCCAGCCACCTGGGCTCTGAGCCACGGAGGAAGCGCCTGCGGAGATTTGCTGCGGCATTTTGTTGGCGTTACCGTGTGTCTGGCTCCCGCTCTGGGCTGAGGTGGCCACCGTCCTGTGAAGACCACCGTGAAGCCCACCAGCAGCAGCAATCACCGAGCATTTTGTTGGCGTTACCATGTGTCTGGCTCCCGCTCTTGGCTGAGGTGGCCACCGTCCTGTGAAGACCACCGTGAAGCCCACCAGCAGCAGCAATCACCGCCGGCGCAATGGCAGCAGAACGTGTCCACAGTCCTGAGAGGTGGAAATGCCCACTGACCCCATTTTACGGCCAGGGAAGCTGAGGCACAGAACAGGCCGCGGGGAGTGACCTGCCCAGCACACGCAGCCGGGCTTCAAGGGCAGACCGTCCGGTCTGGAGGCTGCGCTCTTAACATCACAGGGGCCGCCTCTCACAGGTTAGAACAAGAGTCTCTCGGGTGTTTGCGAGATCCTGGGAGGTGTGGGTCAGCAGCTGCCACCATGACAGGACAGTGATGTGCTTAGTGCCCCTGTGGCCTGACCCCAGATGCACCCTGGCTTGGAAGGGTCTGAGGAAAGGAAGACCAGCTCCCGTTCAGACAGCCCCGCTCCGGCCTGCAGGGAGGTGCACGGTCCCAGGCTGGAGGAGGCTGTGCAGGGCGAGTTTGGAACAGATGAGGCAGGCTCAAGTGAGACAGGGGAGGGGGCTCCAGGAGAGGGCAAAGGGACAGGGGCTGCCCCCTCCTCTCCGCATCCGAAGATGGAAGGTCAACTCCTGGATCTGGAGACTCCACCGCCTTGTTCCAGAGCGGGCCGGACCTAACTCGACCGCTACCTGGATAAGCAGCTGCTGTGCCTGGAGCGGAGGGCAGGGCTGCAGAGGGGCCTGGGGGCTCCTGCTGCCCCCACACAAGCCCCTGCCATTTTCTGCTGCTGCTTGTTCTTTCCGAGCTCTCCACGTCTCTTTCTTCCTGGGCTTCGATCCTGGAGAACGCCCGTCTGCTGACGACGGTGCACGCTGGAGCACCTACGTGTGTCCCGGCTCAGCGTGGCCTGGGCAGCGTGATCAGATCACACTGTGGAAGTAAGTGAAGGCCATCTAGGGAGCAGAGCCTGCTCGAGCGGGGGTCAGTCACCGCCACCTGTGTTTGGCAGATGCTCAAAGGCAGGCAGGGAGGGGGAAGCTTCCCAGTGGACAAGGGAAGGCTCCCGTGAGCCCCACGGGAGGCCGGGGCTGGAGCAGCGGAGGCGGGGACCCAGGGGCGAGCGTCCTGTGGGAGTGGGTGGGGCATAGCTGGCTTTCTCTGGCTCATCCTAAGTTGGAAGTAGGGACATAACTTAGGGAGGCTGTCAGTTATTAAGGTCCCGATGAGTTGAGGCTGATTGTTACAGCAGTTACTGTTTGGCTTCCTGGATTGTTGCTGGAGACAGCGATCTGGCTCCCCGCGAGTCCGACTGTGGCAGGCTGGCCTCCTGGCTGTTACTGTAGATAACGGGGTTTTAGCCAGCTCAGGCGGCTGTAACGAAGCACCCGGACTGGGGGGCTTAAACAACAGACGTTTAGGGCCAGCCCCGTGGCTCACTTGGGAGAGTGCGGCGCTGGTAGCGCCGAGGCCGCGGGTTCGGATCCTATATAGGGATGGTCGGTTCGCTCACTGGCTGAGCGTGGTACAGACAACACCGAGCCAAGGGTTGCGATCCCCTTACCGGTCAAAACAAACAAACAAACAAACAAACAAACAAACAAAAAACTAAACAACAGACATTTATTTCTCACAGTCCCAGAGGCTGGACGTCCAGGACCAAGATTCCATCCAGTTCAGTCTTTGGTGGGGGTCTGCCCCCTGCTTGCGAGTGGCCACCTTCTCACTGTGTCCAGAGTGTAGCTGGGGTGGGTCTCAGACCACAAGGAAGGTCCCTTACATCGACATCCCCATAACATCATGCTCTAAGTAGTTGGATAGGCATTTAGCATCACTGGCCCCGGACCCCTCGTGGTGACCGCATCTGCCAGCTATTGTGTCAACTAAAAATACACAGATTTTAAAGTGACCCTTGAGGATAACACTGCCCACTGTGGACCTGTCCTAGATCTACCCTCTAAGTTTGTGTTCTTCTTCTGCCTGTTCCACGTAGCTGCTCCTATGGTCTGACTGTTTATACACGCACCCTCCCAAGTTAAAACTGTCCACCCTAGAGCTATGCAACCCTAGACCTATGTAACCCTAGAGGTGTGCAACCCCAGACCTATGCAATCCTAGAGCTGTGCAACCCCAGAGCTGTGCAACCCTAGAGCTGTCCACTCTAGAGCTGTCCACCCTAGAAATGTCCACCCTAGAGCTGTTCAGTCTAGAGCCGTCCACTCTAGAGCTGTCTATCTTACAGCTGTGTGCCCTAGAGCTATGTACCCTAAAGCGGTCCACCCTAGAACTGTCCACCCTGGAGCTGTCCACTCTAGAGCTGTCCACTCTAGATCTCCACCCTAGAGCTGTGTACCATAGAAGTGTCGATTCTAGAACTGTCCACCCTGGAGCTGTCCACCCCGGAGCTGTCCACTCCGGAGCTGTGCACCATAGAGGTATGAAACTCTAGAGCCACCTATCTTAGAGCTGCCTGCCTTGAGCAAAGGAGCTGGGATTGATTCTCCCACACCCTACCGTAAGTAGTAAACAGTTGCCGGAAGGGGCATCTACTCCCAACACTTCCGATATGTGTGCTCTGTGTGCAATATGGGGAATTAAAGGGATAGTGGCCTAGACTCTGGGCACGTGAGGGGGGGTGAGGGAGCAATCACAGGAAATGAGATGCAGAGACTGAGAGAGCCGCAGAATTCCAGCTCTGAAAACAGGAGCAGGCAGAGGCCACTCCAGCCCCCTGAAACCCCAGAGAAGGAAGATGGGGCATCCTGGAAGCAATCTTGGATGACCATTGGATGGCTTCATTCCTGTCCAGCGTCTTCCAGTTGGCAAAGCTTGTTCCCCTATTACAGATTTCCACGGAGGCCCCGTGTCCCCACAGTCGCCTTCCACAGAAGCTGGTCCTCTGTAGTCCTCTGCATGTGGCATGCTGGTTCGCACTTGCATGCGCCTACTGGGGCGGCCATAAAAAGTGCCACAGACCAGGCAGCTGAAACAACAGACATTTATTCGCACACATCCTGGAGGCTAGACGTGAGATTCAGGTGTCTCTGGGCTGGCTCCTGCTGAGGCCTCTCCCCATGACTTGTAGACAGCGTCTTCTTAAACAACAGACATTTATTCGCACACATCCTGGAGGCTAGACGTGAGATCCAGGTGTCTCTGGGCTGGCTCCTGCTGAGGCCTCTCCCCATGACTTGTAGACAGCGTCTTCTCCCTGTGTCCTCACATGGTTGACCCTCTGTGTGTCTGTGTCCCAATCCCCTCTTATGAGGACACAGTCAGATAGGAATAGAGCCACCCCAGTGACTTAATTTTGCTTTAATCACCTCTTACAGGCCCTACCCCCAAATACAGGCACAGGCTGAGGTACGGGGGTTGAGGATGTCGACGTGAACTTCAGGGGACAATGTAGCCTGGAACAGCACTTCTGAGCTGTGCGCCGGGTTGTCCCTTGGCTCAGAGCATCTTTTCTTCCTTGTCAATTGGTGAGCTCCACGTTTCCCTTTCTGAGCCCAGAGAGGCCTCCCACCCCAGCTCCAGCTCTGAAGGGCTACGGGTCCTGCTCTTGTGCAGAGACCAATGTCCTGCCTTTTTAGCTGCCTCACCAGGAAGGCCTTAGAGAAGCATCCCAGGATGGGACTCATGAGGGCAGAGAGTACTGAACAGCCACCACTATGCCGAGCAGGCTACATGCATTGCTCAGGTGAGTTCCTTCCACGAGCTCTTATCATCCCCAGCTCCCAGCAGGCATGGCTCGGATACCTGCCTGATCTCCCAGGTGGTGGCACCTGCATCAGGATGTCCACCAGGTAGATTGACACCTGAGACTGCAGCTCTGATTCTCTGCCCCACGGGATCCCAGACCAGAAACACCCTGTGGAACTTGGCTCCAGCAGGGGCAGGGCCCTGGTTCCCCAGAGCCACTGTGTGGGCAGAGTATCTCCTGAGACTAGAGTGAAGGAAGAGACTGTCAGCGAGAGAAGGAATGCACGTGGACAGTGTGTTTATTTAGACATGTGTGAAGTCCAGTCTGGACACAAGTAGAATCAGACCCAGCAGCTCTGTAGAGGTTGCCCAGCTTCCATTGTCCAGGGACCTCCCGTACTGCAGGGAGTTGGCCTCCAGGTGTAGTCTCCTTATGCAGACGGGAGGGGACAGAATGGGGAGGGGTGGATGTACAGGAGGAGAAATCGGCTCAGGAAGGGTCTTGGTCAAGCGGATCCTGGCCTGGACTGCTCCCAGACTGCAGCTGAGGTGAGAAAAGAGTGACACCAGCCAGGGAGGAAGTCAAGGGACTCATCCCAAATGGGACCAGTGGTGGGAGGAGGTGGGGATTGCTTGATGGGGCTAACGGCACAAAGGGTAGGCCTCTTCCCCTTCAGTTCCATGCCCCGTCATCAGAGGCTGGGGCAGGGATCCCTGGGTCTGGAGATTTGACAAACTGCCCTGAGCTGTGCCGCAAAGGTGTGAGATGCAAGTCTGAATGCTTCCTCAGAAGTCTTGAATTGCGGGGGTCACCTATGCCAAAACATCAGATCTTGCACTGGCAGCAAATGGGGCTGCAGCAGCTGGACTGGCAGCAGCTGGACTGGCAGCAGCAGGGCTTGCAGCAGCTGGACTGGCAGCAGCAGGGCTTGCAGCAGCTGGACTGGGAGCAGCAGGGCTTGCAGCAGCTGGACTGGCAGCACACAGGGACACAGTAGCTGGACTGGGAGCAGCCACAGGAGCCACAGCCCCCCTTGGAGCCCCCACAGGAGCCACAGCCCCCTTTGCCACAGCTGGAGCAGGAACAGGCTGGCACACAGCAGCACACAGGCTTGCAGCAACAGACAGGGACACAGCAGCTGGAGCCACAGCCCCTGCAGCTGGAACCACAGCCCCCACAGCTGGAGCCACAGCCTCCACATCTGGAGCCGCAGCCTCCACAGCTGGAGCCGCAGCCCCCACAGCTGGAGCCGCAGCCTCCACAGCTGGAGCCGCAGCCTCCGGAACATCCACAGCAGCCCATAGTTCTGGTGGTTGAGGGTGGAGCGGGTCTGAGGAGCAGGTGGAGAGAGAGTGTTCAGGTGTGGAGCCTCCTGCGCCTGGGCCCTTTATACCCCTGCCTGGGAACACGTCACGATCTATGGTTTTCCTGCTGTTGTTTACACCATCTTCTGGAGACATGTTTGATTGTTTTTCTTTGGCTATGTTGATGTTTTCTGGGGCTCGAGTATGGGCTTTTCCCTACATGATCATTTCCTTGTGGAATTCACACAGGGAGGGAAAACAGCTCTCGCACTGGCTCACCGTAGGGTGATGTGTGGGCTCCCATGGTCACGGGCTCTGTCCCTGGTGCACTGTTCCTCCACCTCTGCCTTTGGGAAGGTGCTGTAGTGCCCCAGCCGTGCTTCCTGCTCTGCAGAGTGTGCTAGCAACACCAGCCTCCTGGGCTGCGCGAGGATTACCCGAGGTGACTTACGTATTGTATCGTGCTGTTCAAAGCGTCCCAAATGCCCCAGGGCCCCTCCTGAGCGCTCCATGCAGGACTATGTTCGGTGCTCATGACTGCTCAGGCAGTTTCCTCCCCCTGTAGAGGCTGGGCTGTGTGCTGAGCTGTGGTGCTGCAAGATGCCCTCCCTGCCCAGAGCAGCACTGCTCTGCACCTGATGCCTGCTGACTGTCCACTGCCATGACGCCTTCTCTGCAGCAACGGTGGCTGACCACAGCAGGGTTCGCAGCAGCGGGGAAGACAGGCCTTTGTTTCCCTGCTCTCCATTCCTGGGCCATTCCTGGGGCCAGGGTGATTGATAGGCCATGGGATCACAGAAAGGGAATTCACACAGCGTGGTCCTTGGGGGAAGGTGAGTGGATCTAGCTCCAGCTTTGAAACTATTGCATGGACCAGTCCTTCTCTCAGAGAAGAACGCAGTTCAGAGTAGAGCTTGGAGGGTAGTGGTGAGACCTCGATAGGTAGAAATAGCAGCTAAGGGACAGGAAGGACACTCCAGCCAGGAGGCAGGGCATTGGCAAGGGCACAGAGGCCAGCAGGTGCAGCCGGAACATAAGGCATGTGTACATGCAGACGTTAAACCCTGGACTGAACCCCAGCCCCAGCACTGGCCTGTGCATCTCTCCACTGGGACTTGGCCACCGCCCTGGCTCCCACCGGTGCATAACCAACCAGCCTGGACTTAGTGGGTCGGGAGCTCAGGCCTCAGGACATTGGGCCTCAGGGCTGCCTGTCAGCAGGGCTCCGTGTTCATCTCTAGACCGGGTCTGCTGGGCTGGCCCATCTAATGTCTCTTCTTCACTCACGTAGGGATGGCTGCGACTGGTGTGCCGGGCGGCTCTCTCGCTCTGTCCCCGTCTCCATGTGGCTTCTCCCTGTGGCGAGCTTGGGCTTTGGTCTCACAGCATGAGGCCCAGTGTCCGGCCCCGCCAGGCCCCTAGCACAGCTTCAGTGACCCAAGCCTCCCCACCCGAGACCCAGTCCTCATGGACTGGAGCCGAGCTGCTGTCCTGCGTCAGGCCTGAGCTCCCAACCCATCAAGTCCGGGCCGGTTGGTTATGCACTGGTGGGAGCCAGGGCGGTGGTCAAGTCCCGACGGAGAGATGCACAGGCCCGTGCTGGGGTCACCGTCAATCTGCCACAGTTACTTCAGCCGGCCCAGGTGATGGGCGCCTGGCGTTCAGTGGTCTTCTCTTCCTCATTTATTTTTTTCAGAGTTGAGTGTCTCACCTCCGGGGGGCATGAGCTCTGGGGGTCACACGGTTTTGCCACCAACACCCGAACCTGCTCAGGGAATTGTCACTGAGTGAGGGAAGAGGACTCCTGCGGCTGCCGCCTGCTAACGTGCTGAGGGCCGGGTCCCTGCGGTCGGTGGCTGGGTTGATGATTCTTTAGCTGAATTCAGTTCAGCTGCAGATTTGAGCGCCCCTTCCTGATGTCCTTTATAATAAACTGGCAAACGTACGTGAAGTGTTTGTCTGAGTGCTGTGAGCCATCCTACAAATGGTCAAACACAAGGAGGGGTCCTGGGAGCCCCCGAGGTACAGCCAGTGGGTCAGAAGTATGAGAGGCCTGGACCTGCGACTGGCGTCTGACGTGTGGCATCTTGTAGGACTGAGCCTTTGGCCTGTGGGGTCTGCGTAGTTCCAGGCAGAGAGCGTCAGAATCACACTGAGTTGTGGGTCGCCCAGCTGGTGTCGGGAGAGTGGGCTGGGGTGGGAAAAATCCTGCATGTCTGGTGTAGGCCGTCCCATGCGAGAGTGTGGACAAAGTGTTTTCCTCAGACTCGTAGACAGCAGGTACAACACCGGGGGGGACAGCGCAGGAAAATGTGCGGCTGTGGCTTCAGCATCCTTCTCAGCGGCAAAGGATGCGCCTCATCTGCAGATCGTGAGCCACCAAGGTGCACGTGCGACGTCTCTGTCTCAGTGACACACATTTCTGAGTGGCCTTTTATAGCTCGGTCACGTAGCCCAAAGCAGGCACAGACCGTCGACATACGCCTTCCGTGAGCTCACGCCGCGGAGGCTGGGCACGGCCGCAGGTCTCGCCTCTGCCGGGCGGCTGCCACTTTCGGGACTTTAGGTAACAGGTTTCTCTGCACCCTCAGCCCTCCCACGGGCTCTGATAAACCGTGTTCTCCTGTGACTGTGGGGCCCACCTCCTCTCACACTCTTCTACGTCTTACAGGGAAGGGGTCCCATCCTTTGTATTGACGGGTAAACATTTACTGCTGTAAAATCCCCTCTAACTACGTACTGCTTCCTCTGGTTTTCTAAACATCGGCTCATCTCCACTATTATTTGTTTGCTGCATCATGGCGCAGCATGTTTTAAAATTTCCCAGTATGTGGGGCTTTTCCAGTTATCTTTTTGTTACTGATTTTTGAAAATTATTGAGCACTTGGAGAATATAACCTGCGTGATATTTTTCCTCCAAATTTATTGAGACTGGCTTTGTGAGTGGGCAGGTAAACTGATATTCCTTATGAGCTTAAAAAAGTGCGTGTCCTTCAATGACACGGTGACAAGTCCACCTGTCCAGCGTACTTACCTATTAACCGTATGGCTCGAACTTTTACAACCTGGCCGACGCTGTTGTCTATTTGACATGTCCCGCCGTGGGGAGGGTTTGCCACGTTCCCTTAGACACTCCCATGTGCTCCCACCACGGGGCCTCGGCGCTGGCTGCCTGGGACCTGCCTGCGGGGCACTGCGTGCCTCCTTCCTCCCCTCCTTGGAGCCTCTGCTCGAGGACACCATCTCAGCGGGGCCACCCCGCCACCCTGTTGACAGCGGGCCCCTCCGTTTGGACGTCCTTGCCTCCCCCTTTCGCCACTTTATTTTCTTCCTTGGAACGTACTCTGTCGTTTAGTTTTCTGCTTGACCCGTTGTCCACCTCTCCCCGTAGGACGCTGGTGAGGGTGTGGTTTGTGCCAACTCTGCGCACTGCCGTGTCCCTGGGGTCCGGAGCAGAGCCAGGCACAGCACACGTCAGACGCACGTGTTCTCTTTGGATGCGCTGTGCAGAGGGGAGGTGTGGATCTGCTTGTTTTTATTTTTGCTTTTTTTGTGTGTTTCTCCTGCTTGGGACTCATTAATCTAAGAATGAGCATTTTTCGTAAATTCTGGGACATTGCCCCAGGTCATCTCTGAATGCTGCCTTTCCCTGCTGTCCCCGTGGCCTCTTCTGCAAGCCCAGCTGCTGCATGTCAGACTCTCTTACTCTGTTTCCACGGATTTTTACAGCCCCTTCGTGAATGTCCCATGTGTTTGTGTTTGAATATTGAATTCTAGCTAAAGTATTAATGTCTGTTTTCCAGCTCATTCATTCTCTTTTCATCTGGCCTGCACATACCCGGTAAGTTTTGGAATTCAATCTCTATACTGTTTGTTGGTAGGATTTCTATATTTCTTTTTCTGAGATACTTAATTGTGCTTATATTCTCCGACTTAAGCTCATATTTTCAATCTGATCTTGTTTTTTTCAGCCATTTCAAAAGTACTTATTTTGTGTTCTGCGTCTGCCGTTTCTGATTCTTGCTTGTATTCTTTGCCGGTTCTCTCTCATGATGCCTCCACGTGTGTGTGTTGTGATTTTTGAATGTGAACTTGTTCCTTGCAATCTCGCCTGTGGGAATCTCTGACAGTTCTCTCTCGTGATGCCTCCACGTGTGTTGTGATTTTTGAATGTGAACTTGTTCCTTGCAATCTCGCCTGTGGGAATCTCTGACACCTGTCTGAGGGTCGGTTTCATTATGGAGGATTCGTGTTTGCTTTTTTATTTACTGGGGCAAACCAGCCTGGGGTGACTGTGTGTGAAATCTTATATTTATGTTTTTCGGACCATGGAGGGAGTTCTCAAACACTCATGAGGCCAGTGTACGGTGACACATTTCGGGGAGGCCTTTCCCACCCCCACCCTGGTCTCAGTGTTTCCTGGTGTCTCCCCCTCAGAGAGGGCCTGTTTCTGGTGCAGCCCCCATGGAGGCCGGCTTCTGCCTTTCACCCCCCATGGACACGGCACTCCCCTGGTTGTGGGTTCTGAGGATTCTTTACTGTTCACCCAGCTCAGTGACTTTTTAAAAACTTATTTTTTAAAACTCCAGCCCTTCTAGGGGTTTCAGGGTTGTGAACGGTATCCAGGCCAACGTTACTTACTAAAACAGAAACTCAGAACTTGGTGGAAATCCCACGTTGTCGTGGTTCTGTCGGGCACCTGCTGCCTCTGGAGTGGCCTGCAGGTCTCTGCAGTTGCAGACTGCCGGGTCCGGGCCGGCCTTGCAGCCCGCCTCTTCCACCCACACTTGCTCTACAAGCCCAGGGCTGTGCGTGGGCCCCGGGGGGCCTGGCCCATGGAAGCTGATGCTGCCATCTTTCCCTATCTGAGCCCCCTGCCTGACCCAGCACAAAACCTTCCCAGTTCATTCAGAGCCTTCCGACTTTGCACGTTTCTAGGCCACACTTATTCATCTATTTCAGAATAGGATCTGGGTGGAACCGATGGGCCTCAAGCAGCATCTTGCCCAGAAGTTTCAGACACACTTCCATGAGGACCAGGCTGAGACCTGGGGGGTAGGGAACAAGGGACACAAGATGGATCAGGATCTGTGGAAGTGCACGCCATCCTGTGTGTGCTGGGAGCAGGAACGCAGCTGGGGCTTGAGAGGAAGATGGGACAGGTGTGAAAAACAGGTGTGACGGGCTAAATGTCTGTATGTCCCCAAAATTAGTATGTTGAAGCCTTAACTCCAGTGTGACTGCATTTGGAGACAGGATCTGAGGGGAGGTGATACAGTCAAACGTCACGGGGTGGGGCCCTGCTCCAATAGGACTGGCATTCTCACAGGAGGGGGCGGGGCACCCAGGACACCCGAGCTTACCCTCTGCCACGTGGGGACCCAGTGTGGAGGGGCTGTCTGCAGACCAGTGTGCGGGCCCTCACCGGAAACTGAACTTGATCTGGGACTGCCAGCTCCAGGATAGAGAGGGATAAACGTCTCCTGCGCTAGCGCCCACTCGGTGGCATTTTGTCATGGCAGCCCTAACAGCAGACTGAGGTGACGGGTAAGGGATGGTGGGCCTGGAGCAGAGGGCTGCTGGGGAGGTGGCGTGGAGGCTAAGGGAGGTGAAGTGGCAGCTCACGACCCACGGCTTGCCTCTCTGGTTTGTTACCCACGGTCAACCAAGGTCTGAAAACATTCAATGGAAAATTCGGAAATAAGCAGCTCATAAATTTTAAACTGTGTGCCGTGTGAGCAGCATGAGATCTCTAGCTGTCCTGCTCCGCCCGCCCTGGTCCTGAATCGTCCTTTGTCCAGCAGATCCATGCTGTGAACACCACTCACTGTTCGTCACTAGACAACTCAGTTATCAGAGCAACTGTCACGGGATTGCAGCGCTTGTGTTCAAGTGACCCTTGTTTTGTTTAACAATGGCCCCAAAGTGCAGGAGCTGTGCTGCTGGCATGTTGTTTATAATTATTCTATTATTAGTTGTTGTTAATCTCTTACCGTGCCTAATTTGTAAGTTAAGCTTTATCTTCGGCATGTATGTACAGGAAAAAGCGTAGTGTATATATATATGTTTCAGTACTGCCGTGGTTTCAGACATCCACTGGGGGTCTTGGGATGTATCCCTGGTGGATAAGGAGGGACTACTGTATTTGTGGAAGATTCTATAGGATTTGGTGACATGAGANGTTTTGTTTAACAATGGCCCCAAAGTGCAGGAGCTGTGCTGCTGGCATGTTGTTTATAATTGTTCTATTATTAGTTGTTGTTAATCTCTTACCGTGCCTAATTTGTAAGTTAAGCTTTATCTTCGGCATGTATGTACAGGAAAAAGCGTAGTGTGTGTATATATGTTTCAGTACTGCCGTGGTTTCAGACATCCACTGGGGGTCTTGGGATGTATCCGTGGTGGATAAGGAGGGACTACTGTATTTGTGGAAGATTCTATAGGATTTGGTGACATGAGAAACTGAGGGGGAAGAAAAGCCAAAGATGCCCCCAAGGGCATCCTGCGGTGCAGTCCTGACCCCACTACCTCAGAAAGTGACCTCGTTTGGAGACAGAGTCGTTACAGATTGTAACAGGTTAAGATGTGGACGTAATAAAGTATGGTGGATCCTGATCCCATAGGACTGTGTCCTTATAAGAGGACATCAGGACACAGACACACACAAGACAACCACGTGAGGACACAGGGAGAAGACGCCGTCTGCAAGCCAAGGAGAGCGCCCTCAGGAGAAGCCAGCCCTGTGACACCTGGATCTTGGGCTTGCAGCCTCCTGGTCTACGGTGTTTTCTTTGGGGAGCCCTACCTAGCTAATGTAGCAGGGAACATGGTGGGGGTGGGGGTGGGGGTCCCAATGGCACCAGGGGGGGCAACTGTGGAAAACTTGTACATTTTTCCAGTCATATAGAGTCTGAAACCAAAGAATCACAATGTAAACTCTTGGGAGGTGCAGATTTTATTTATGTGGGGATCCAGACTGGGCAGTCTATAAAGGGAGAATCAGCAAGTAGGTGAAGGAGCTGGCCATGTCCCAGAAGGAAGGGGAGGGACTGGAGACCCCCTTTTCCTCCAGAGAGGACCCCAGGGGTCTCCGATGGCTCTGTGACTTCTAGATAAGTTCCCAAAGCAGTCCACGTTCAGGCAGCTCAGAGCGGGATGAAGATCCAAGGAGGCAGGGACCGGGGAGAGGGGCCGGCAAGGGCCCCAGTCACAGGGTGCCCAGTCTCAGGAGGGCCATGTGACATGTGGTCTCTGAGTCCTGAGAAGATTGGAGTGGTGTGATCAGGAAAGGAGGAGGAGGATTTCAGTAGGAGTTGGGGGCAAGACATGGGGCACTGGGGCCCTCATGACAGCAGGTTTGAGTGCTGAGGTCTGGGTGCTAGGCTGCCACAGTCCAGAGGAGGACAGACCCAGAGTTGTGCTTCAGGATTTCAGGACACAGCTCTGATCATTCCCAGAGAGCCCAGACCTGCAGGACACAGCTGAGGTCTGCACACGAATCATCAGACCTTGCACTGACAGCAAATGGGGACACAGCAGCTAGACTAGGAGCAGCAGGGCTTGCAGCAGCTGGACTGGGAGCACACGGGGACACAGCAGCTGGACTGGNTGCAGCAGCTGGACTGGCAGCACACGGGGACACAGCAGCTGGACTGGGAGCAGCAGGGCTTACAGCAGCTGGACTGGGAGCACACAGGGACATAGCAGCTGGACTGAGAGCAGCAGGGCTTGCAGCAGCTGGACTGGGAGCAGCAGGGTTTGCAGCAGCTGGACTGGGAGCACACAGGGACACAGCAGCTGGACTGGGAGCAGGGGACACAGCAGCCGGACTGGGAGCACACGGGGGTGCAGCAGCTGGACTGGGAGCAGCCACAGGAGCCACAGCTCCCTTTGCCACAGCTGGAGCAGGAACAGACTGGCACACAGCAGCACACGGGCTTGCAGCAGCAGACGGGCACACAGCAGCTGGAACCGCAGCCTCCACAGGAGCCACAGCCTCCGGAACATCCACAGCAGCCCATGGTTCTGGTGGTTGAGGGTGGAGCGGGTCTGAGGAGCAGGTGGGGAGGGAGTGTTCAGGTGTGGAGCCTCCTGGGCCTGGAGCGCCTTATATATCCGCCCAGGTGTTTATACTTAACACATGACTACTTCCTTTCTGTGTTTACAGAGTTTCTTAAGGACAAGTGTTATTTTTAATCACTTCACTGTCCCATGAGCTGTCACTAGTTCAAGTCAACATCCCCTTTCTTTAGTTGCTAAATTTGGCCTCTTCCTCACAGGTGTTCCCTTTGCCAGAAGGGACCGAGTTCCCTGTCCTGGGAGTTTCCCGCGAGCCCCTGGGAGCCGGTCGTGGTGGGCCGGCTGCAGATCCATCGTCTGTGGCATTCGCGTTTCTCCTCATCGATATAAAATAGGGTTTTATATTCC